CAGTATGGAATTTGTCACTAATCATTTTAAACTATGCCCTTTTATGCTTCTTCTGTCTCTTTGCGCTTTCTGAGCAGTTCTTTGATGTAACAAAGACAGTTTCAGACAAGATTTCAGTTCATCGGGAAAAAAAAAGCTTTAAGTCTGGAGGCAAAATGCAATGTATTTAAAATTTATATACTCTATAATGCCTTTGTTCTGAACTTGAAGATCCTGCAAAACTTCTAAGCTTCTTTGCCTTCTTCCCTTAAGCACATTTGTTCTTCTTCTTTTGCTTATTATCATGCAGCTGTGGCTTTAACTGGTGGCTCCATCATTTAACTACATGCAGAGTCATGGCTGACCCTTTCTGATCAATTGCCAATCCATACAGGTTTGACTGATAAAAGAGCCAATTAGATTTAAGCAAATTAAGGGACATCACCAATGTCAACCACTTATTAAACCGAATGCTAAGTTCCGTGCATACAAAACACTAATGCACTGAGCCCCATTAAGAGTTGAAATCCTAACCCCATTAGTAACTCCAGACCTTGGAAGGGTAGAGGTCACAGGAAAGTTTCAAATTTATGGATTAACATTTGGATTTCATTTTTATTTTTTTAAGTCTTTTCCTAGAACTCTTGAACCTGCAGGATAATGCTATTCAAGAACTCAGATTAAATATAGTTTTCATTCCTAAAACTATCTTAGTGCTAAATATTAGCAATATGTTGTTACAAACAACTCAAAATAAAAGCACTGTAGGAAAAAACCCAAACCTATGAGAATATAGATCTAGGTACAAATGTCCCATATAAATTAGAAAAAAGAAAAGAAACAAAACTCCAAACTTCTCATCAGTTCACCAAACAATATCTTTAAAATGAAAATGTGTGCAATTATGGATTTGTTGTTTTCCATTTTTATACCCCCCCAAAAAATAGTAAATAATCTTGCCTCCGTTTATACCTATATCCAATATAATATAGGTTTATTATGTATTTTTTCATTTTTAAAATCAAGATAATAAGGTAACTACTCTGGAATCTCTTTGATGGCAACTACAAGAAGCAGCAAAGCTGAATTATGATTAAAAACAGACTACCCCACTCTAGTTGAGTCAGTGTGACTCTTAGTAATCCTCCATGTGGTTTTTGAGGCAGTACCTCTTTGTAAGAGGAAAAGGCCTGGCTTTCTCTCTCTCGCAGTGAAGAGATCCAGTGGTGGATTTCAACATTCGAGTCTTGAATTTTTCTTTACACCATGTTCCTTACCTCCTCTTTCCAAATTCTCATGTCAAGTCTGTTCATCCCATGCTCTCCTAAGAAAAGCGACTAGTGTGAGAGTAATCATGGTGATGAGTTGACACAATGTGAGATGGTTCTTGGCTTCCAGCTTTCCCTACTCCCTTATTGTGAGGACTCCTGACTGCTTTTGTAGGACCGCAGCACCCATTCCTTGGGCAGCACTTGACAGAGTAGGTATCATTTTCCCCAGGTGACTACATTATAAGGAATGTGCAGATAGAGGACTAAGCGTGGGCAGGCCTGAGGCGTGACTAGCTTACAAATAAAATTTAAAACGAGATATTTAAGTATCTTGATTGATTTAAAAGAGCTCTTTTGGTCTAATAGGTAAAGTGTTGTGCTGCCAATGCAAAGAAAGGTGGTTTGAATCCAATCACTGCTGTGAGGGAGGAAGACATGCAATTTTTTCCCATGGAATTTACAGCCTCTGAAAACCTAATAGATGGTCTACTATGGGTCAGTTGTGACTTGGCAGCAAGAAGTTAGAATTTTGATTGATTTAGGTACTGCTTTATTCACCAAAATTTTATATTGCGCTTTCCCTGGTGGCTCAAAGAGTTAAGGCCTCAAAAAGTAACTAAAAGGTGAGCAGTTCAAGTCTACTCAGTAGCTCGGAGGGAGAAAGATGCAATGATCTGCTCTTATAAAGAGTACAATCTCCAAACTAATGTTATAAAAAAAGATGCATAAACTGTTGAGTGTGAAAGTGGTGTGCCCAAACCATAATAAAACATTTATAAAAAAATAAAACTTAAGGAAAGCTCATTAGGCAGCTCTGCTCTGTCACAGAGGTCACTATGAAAACAGCTCAGTGGCACTTAGTGGTTGGTACTTAGATACAGACAACAGCAACTCTATGTCAGGTTTTTTTCAGAGAATCAAAAATACAAATACAAATAAGAAAACATCCTTGCTGTGAGGATCTTATAACCAGTGATAGTGACAGATTAGACAGGCAATTTCAATATAATATGATTGTGCTCTGGGATATGGGAAAGTCCTATCTCTGCCCTCATTGCTAAGACATGACTTTCTGATGTATGGCTTTAAGTCCAAACTTAAAAACTGAGTAGGAATTTACCAGATCAAAGAATGAAAGGGGAGGCAGTTCCCACAGTACATTTGATAGAGCAAACATTTAATAAAGAAAAAAAAAGTAGCATTTCCGTTTGGCCTAAACCTTGCTAGTACATTTTCTAAACGCACTGAGAAGAAAACAGCAGGGGATATTATCAACAGGAAACTTGCATAATCCAGTACTGAAAGAGATTGCTAGGAATTCAACATTGCTATAACAGAGATCTAATATTGAAATCAAAGAAATGGCAATAATGATAACAATCCAAATATAATGGAAAAGTAAATAGCATATAGAACCAAGTCAGCCCATAAGTTGGGTTGCTTTTGTACACTGGTTCATTTATTATTCATTTCCGAATGAAACACAGTTCACTGGACAAAGGCATGGAAGATTTCTTTAATAACTCTCAGTACTAATTTAATTCTACTTAAACACACATATTATAGTAAATGCCACATGCTTTCCAGCATGATTTTATGTGTAAATCAGGATAATATGTTTTCAGATCATTAAGTAAAAAGAAGCATGAACTAAAGCCTATTTAATCAATGAGGTATCACCTTTAAACTGCCACAAGGTCATAAAAAAGATAATTTCAAAGCTATAAGTTTCCTAATTGTAATCAACAACAATCTAATGATGAAAGAAAGTATGTCCTAATGGCTGTAATAAACTTGGGCAAATTACTGCCTTTCTTTGAAGACATTTTGCTCCCTCTTTTGGTAACATGTTGTCTCCCAAATTCTGGATTTCTGCATACGTAAATGCATGAGTGCATTAAGTCCAGAGAGCGTGTACCTGAGTGGCCTTAGTACGACACTACACCTAAGCATCTACCTCCTGCAGATGAAATGAAGAAATTTAGCTCAGTTTGGCTATACCACTATACACCAAGATCCTAGCCGTTTCCTGTTTTTATAATGCCAGAGCTTCTACTGAAGAAATAACAGTGTATACTACTTTTGAACTCTGTCTGTTGTGTGGGTGTGTCTATCTAGCCATCTAAACTCAGCCAATTGGCCGATCTGTTTCACAGTGAATACATGTGCATGAGAATTGTGCTCCACAAGGGCTGATTTTTTCAGAAGCAAATCATCAGGCTGTTTCTCTAGGGTATCTCTGGGTGTATTCGAAACCATCAATCTTAATCTTTTGGTTAGCAGCTGAGCATTTAACCATTTGCACCATGCAGGAACTAAGCAACCAACTTTCCTTCTTGATGTATGTGTGTAGGGTGGTGAATATTTATGCATATTTTATTTTCCCATTTTATTCTTAAATAAGTTCTTGCCTAACTTCAAGTCCTTTTACTTTTTATTGGTCATAAGATATGACACTCCATGAGTGAATCGGCTTAAAAGACTGTCTAGTATTTTTTTCTCTTAAATAACATAAATTCTTTTATTAGCATTTCAGATGCTTTAAAGTAAGTACTCATTCATTAATTCTCATAATATAATAAAATACAGATAATAGCTAATAGTTTGGACAATATGTTGTTGTTTGCCATCGAGTCTGAACTCATACATAGCTGACCCTCCAGCAAGTTTTCAGAGGCAGTAAATTGTTCAGGAGGAGATAGTCTTCATTCTTTCTTTTATAGAGCAGTTGATGAATTTGAACTGTGTGCCTTTGGGATTGCAGCACAGCTTCTTATATTTTCTTTTTAGGGGAGTATTTCATACAAAGTTGAGAGCAACCCTGTTTTCCCCCAATGCTGAGAGAGAGAGAGAGAATGAATATGGGTGTCTATAACACTGATGACTGCTAAGAACATGCCTTAGTCTATATCATACTGGTGTCAGAAGTTGCAAGATAGGCAAACATTTCCTGTGGTGTTTTTTGAACACATACATTTCTAAACCCTCAGTGGAGAATCAGACTCTTGTTGTTATTTTGAGGGATGTTTTCTACTCAACTGCCATAGCAACCTGAGAGGCAGTTTTCTACTTGGTAATTACTTTCCACAAATAATTGAAGCTAGAGGGTAGTTGATTGCAGATGAAAATAATGGTAATTTGAATACATTGTCGTTTTCTTCACAGAAATATTAAAAAGAAAAAAATTAAGGCTGCATCACATTTTACATACACTAGTGATATTGCTGAACTGTAATCATGAGGACATGTAACTTAGAGATGTCTTTCTGGTGAATAAAATAAGATTTCCATTTTATATATTATCTGCCCACTCTCTTTATTATTGCCAAATGCTAAGGCTATATGTACATCTAAGCTTGATCGTCAACAAACCAAGAAAGAGAACAACTGCAGATGAAAACTCAAGCTAACTTTGAAAAGAACTTTTGAAATGAAGCCTTAAAACAAACAAAAAACTCCATCTCACAAACTTTATAATATACAGAAGATATTTATATATGTATATAAAATACATTAACACAGACACAATAAAATAGAAAAGCATCTCCAATAAAACAATAAAAGACTATCACTATAAGTGTTTTGATAAAAGAGTTTCAATAAAACAAGTAGCAACAACAAAGTAATCAGAAATAAAATTGAGTTTTTAAGGTATAAAAAATATGCTAACAATAAACAAAGGTGTTCCACAGAGACTTAGTTCTAGGGCATTGATAAAGCTGTAGAAGACAATATTTTTCCTAGGCTTACCTCCTGGAGGCATTGCAATGATTACAGGGTCGCTTATCAAGCTGCCTTGGCTATTTGAAGCATTTACTTGTACGGTATAGTTAGTAAAAGGAATCAGTCCACTGATGGGCACCCAAAGGTTGGTCCTTTCACTGCTGTGGACAATTTGTGTGCCATTCAGAAGGGTGTAGTTTTCACCTGTTAATTAAAGGGCGGGGGGGGAAGAGGGTGATTAAAATTAGTGTTGATTTACAAGAATCATACTATATTCCTGGGCCCTCCGGTGGCCTCATGCTGGGAAATTGTACGGCTAATACAAAGACCACATTTCTGGTGGTTCTAGGTAACTGTAATATCACCACATCAAGAGCTATTTCATGATCTTCCATCAGTGTACATACTTTTATCTAACTCTCTAGTAACTAAAATGTTAACTGGATTAAAATTACATTTTCTATTTGTCAATAATTATAATTAATAAAACTGGGCAGATATTCAAAAGTAGCATGAAAAAAAAAACCCAATTAGTTCCATGCACATGTCCTATGAGAAATTGTCAATTTGCACAAACCCACAAATTGATTACTTAGTTATTTTTTATTTTTTGAGGGTTTTTTAGTCCTTGTATTTTTTTTTTACTGTGCTACTGCAGAGATTAAAACTTTTCCTTGAATAAAGGGTTCTAGATATAAAGAAAGGGAACTCTGGTGGTTCAGTGGCACAGAGTCAACCCCAAAGCATGTGATTCTAATCCACCAGTTGCCCTGTGGGAGAAAATGGAGCAACTTTCTCCAGTGAGATTTACTGCCTCTGAAAACCGGCTGGAGGGTTAGCTGTGAGTTGGTTCTGACTCAATGCTATGCAACAACAAGCACAGATATGAATAATATTATTGGCTTTAACTGTCAGGTAATTAAGGAATCAGTAATTAACATATTTTCTGCTCATTTTGCTTGAGGGTGAGTTATTTCTTTTCAAAGATCTCTTGATCAGAATCGGCTGAAATATCCAAAGAACAATCATGGTTGGGAGGTAGAAGAGATTCATGTTGAACAAGATTTATTAACACCATGGGAAAATGCAGGCTTGGCCTCACTACATAAAAGACTCAATACGTCTTCACCCCAGTGTCAGTATCACGTTCCAAAGATTCAGCAAATGTGTATTCAAATCTCAAATGGCTTTCAAAAAACCTCACAAGAGGCTACCTTCATTGCCATGGAGTTGGAACCATTCCATAGTTTGGAACTTACCCTTCAGTGAGTTTTCAGATACTGTAAATTTCATGAGATGAGACTACCTATCTTTCTCTCAAGGACCATCTGGTGAATTTAAACCACTTGCCTTTGAATTGGCAGAGTATCTCCTTACCCTCTAGACCACCAGAGTTTCCTCAAAATGCCTAGCCAGTGTGAAAACACTCCTGGGGATCACACCATTTAGCTCCCTGTCTTCCAGTATAGGTTAATAGGAGTTAAAAATCAGGGTTATATAAGAAAGGGAAAAAAAACAAACCAACCAAAAAAAATCAAACACAAATGCCTTTTAAAATTATATCATGACACACCATTATAATGTTAGATGTTTTCCTGAAAAATTCACGCATTTTTAATTTCAGTAAAATTTTAGTCATTGTCTCTAATTACTTTTGAAGTATATAAAAAAAGACCATTAAAAATACAAAAATTTATTTCAAAGAGTTTTATTCCTTTACCAAAATCTGTTTAATTAAATGTATGTTGAAATATCTTCACAAGGAATTCTGCAAAGATAGGTAAACCAATAAAAAAAAAATGCATGCTATTGGACTTTAAGGAGAAAAAACAAGTATATATTTTCAATATCACCAGATACTGATGGAATCTTCATTGATTAAATGTTTAAAAAAGTAAATGATGACCACACATTGAAAATGATATTGCATTGAACAGTAAACACTATTTATTAGTTCCAGCACTTAAAAATATTCTTTTAACAAGGGTTAGTAACAGTTTATAGTACCAAAAAAAGTACATAGATTTTCTTGACAGTGTGTTTGAATTTCTTCTAGCTGTTTTTTAACGGCCTGCACCTCACAAAGTTGCTTAGCGTTATTGAACTTTGGGTTCTATGAATGCTAACTGAAAATGACAATATGCAGATTTTATAGAGATGATTAAATGAGATTGTTTGTTTATAATAAAATCTCAAGCACACTGCCATTAATTTAAGTCAGCTCCATAGCATCCCTCCATCAGGTTTCCAAAGCCTTGATTTGTGATGGGTAATTGGCTGGAGGGTTTGGTGAATTTGAATGGCCCATTCTTTGGTTAGCAGCTCAACATACCATGCACTAACCCACCAGGGCTCCTTTTATTGATAATACTCAGCACGAAATAGCTGCTTAAAATCAGCCACTGGAAAGAATATTGTTATTTTTATTATTATTATCTATTTAACTAATGTTATTGTTGGAAGGTGCTGTCGAGTCGAGTATGGCCCTATGAACAAAAGATCTGAACCTAGTCCTGTCCTGCGTCATCCTCACACTTCCTGACACACTAAAGCCCATTGTGGCAGTTGCTGTGATAATCCACGTGGTTGAGGGTCTTCTTCTCCTTTGGCAACCCTTCACCCTTCCCAGCATCATGTCCCTCTTCAAAAAAATAGCTCTTCCTAGCAACACACTCAAAGCATGTTAGGTGAAGCTTTGTTATCCTTGCCTCCAAAAAGCACCCTGGCTGCACTATCACCAAGACGTATTTGTTTGTTCTTTTGTTGGTCCATGGGATGGTCAGTGTACTTCTCCAACACCACAACTCAAAGGTATCAATTCTGTCATCTCTAGTTATTGTCCAGCTCACAGATGCATAGCAAGTGATCAGGAAGACCATGGCCTGAATCAGATGCACCCTAGTCCTCAAACTGACAAATTTAACTAATAAGCTTCTAGAACTAGCAAGTGGTAAGAATTACACAACCTGTCCTTCATTTTTCTCAGTAACAATTACTGCTTTTAACGTTCTGCTTCACCCAACAAAAATGTCTTCTTGGTAAAAATTCTAACATTTGTATCAAGAAAACACTAAACCCATCCTCTACCACCACCCCGTTGCCCCATTGGGTTGTATGTCAAACTCTGGAGTTAATCAAGATCAAATAATGCGAAAAAAGCATCTGATAGCTTATTATCACATGGCAATTGTAAAGGTATGTGGGTCAGAGAAATAAAATGAAAATAACCATGTATTTTGAAAAAAATACATAATTCTGAGATGGAGGAATAGCTGAACTCTATTTCAGCAAAATACATAGGTATAGTTCCTGTACTTAAAAAACAAAATCTCTATATCCACAAAAGGATTTATAACTCTGGACTTCACATTGGCAGTAAGAAATCTCACATGCAAAGTGGTGATTTATTTCTAGAAATGGGAATAATGGTAATTGTGAACTGAAAAATAAGGAGAAAAATTTCTATTCATTTTTGTTTGTATGACTTGATAAAGATAGCTTAATGAATTATTTCAATGCGTTAGAGTGATTAATGTACTTAGCTGTTAAACACAGCTCTACGGCCCAAATCTACCAGCTTCAGTAAAAGACAGCCTTGAGAACTCAGTAGGGCTGTTCTACTTTGGGCAGGTTGTTAGAAGGGACCAGTCTTTGGAAAAGGACATCATGTTTGAAAAGGTAGAGAGTAAGCAAATGAGCGGAAGATCTTCAATGAGATGGATTGACACAGTGATTGTAAATATTTGCTCAAGTGTGTCAGAGATGGCAGAGGATAGGACAGGGTTCAGATCCATTGTTTATATGGCCCCTAAGAGTAATAGTTGGAAGGAGGAGTGGCATTCACTTCCATAATAGTTTGCCTCTGGAAACCCTATGAACCTGGAGAGCGGATGAAAGGCACCCAAGTGTCGAGGACTCTGCTTCATAGGTCCCTATGAGTCTCCAGCGACTAGACAACACTTAACAACAACAACAACATGAGTAAAAGTCGACTCTAATTCTCTTAACAGCAGCATTCACAGCAAGAAGTGTGGGATGAAAAAAATCAGTCTTTGATAACTTCACTGTGCAAAAGATAGCTTTGATAACTTCACAATTAAAAGATATTTCCAGATTATGGAAATACTGACTCTTATATGTTCTTTTTCAAAATTTTCTATTAATGTCAGTGAAAATTTACAGAGACTTTGGATTTCAATTCATTCATTATTGCACTTTTCTCCCCTTCCAAGCCTCCTCCCCAGTACACTACCCTCTTGCAAAAGTAAAATTCTTTCATTGTTTTACAATCCCTCCCCTGAGATCCACTCCGCTATACAGCCTTCACTCTGGACTCCTGTCATGACAAAAATACCTAATAATTTTCCCTCTTAAACAGTTTTCTCCCTCATCTGTTTCAATGGAGTATACATTATTGAACCCATCCTTCTCAGTCTCCTCCCAACCCCGAGGTCAGTCCTGCTTACAACAGTGGCACCATGCAATATTTGTCCTTTTGTGATTGAGATCTTTCACTCAGCATAATGTCCTTGAGGGTCACCCATTCTGAATAATATTGCATGAGTTCCTTGTTTTTCAATGCAGCATAGTAAACCATTGTGTGACTATACCACGGCTTTTCTATCCATTCATTTGTTGATGGGCACTTAGCGGGAACTTGATTTAACCAAAGATGATTAGCTTCCACTGAGGACACATAGCTGTGTGTTGACCTTATGTGCAAAAGGAATACGAAATAAAGTTCTTACACTCAAGAAATCTGCCTAAGTTTAAAAGATGTCTTTTCTTTTTTCCCCTTATCCATTTGTCATTTTTTAAATTAATTTTAGTGAAAGTTTACAGACACTTTGGATTTCCATTCATTGTTGCACTTTTCTCCCTGCCCAACCTCCAAACCCACAATGTGCTCTTCTCTTTGAAAAGTAAAAGAAAAATGCTTTCATGATGTCTTTTCTAACCGTAGTCTAAATACAAATTCTCAGTATCTAAAGAACTCCTCAAGTCCTCATGATGTCTAACTCCTTGGGGCATTTTCAGTTCTACTAGTGTCACTTGCCTGGCCAATTGCACAAAGGTCTGTATACCCTAGAGAGATTCAGGCAGATCCTCAATTATCTTAGAAGCGGTATAAAGGAGCACTTCTTATCAAACAGGAAAAAAGAAATCACTAATGGAAATTGTAAAAATAAACAAAAACTCCCCAC